GGATGAAAACCCAACCACTGCCAGCAGGCACAACAGTTAGACGGAGACACAAGCCTCAAACACATGCTGAAAGAATGTTTGCCATCAGAATAATACTGTTTAACTCTCTGGACCAGATGTAGATGATGTAAGAAGATGAGGCACAAGATTGGCCATGATGCGACTGCAATACTGTGTCGTTTAATAAACTCTTAGCCAGAGTGAATAACACCCCTGTAGAATGTTTTGGTGGGAAAGAATTTCATTTATTAAGGCTACTATGACCATGTTGATAATTTCACCGCCTCTTTTAAACCCTGCCCCTCATGAATGAGCAGTTAGTGGGCGTGACCACGTGTGATAAGCTGCAGTCTCAGTAAATCAAACATTAAATTGATGTGGTTGTTCACATCAAGGTAGATTTTTTGCTGCGCCTGCATTCAGACATCTGGCCCAGAGAGTGCTGGATGACTGTACATGGTACAGGAGTGTGCGTGTGTTTGTACAATTGACTGTATTGTCACTTGGTGCATACTTCAGTGCAGAAGACAAACATTGAGGGCATGTGTGTGGTGTTGAGTGTGAGGGCTGTGTGGGGTGAGCGGCAGCAGCTGGAGACAGAGAAAGAAAGAGAGTGAGAGAGAGAGAGCTTTATGGTAATGCTGGAGGCACACAGGGAAGGGTGTTTCCAGGTTCACTGCATTAGACTGCTGTCTCTGTTTGTTCCAATCCATTTCCCTCAGTCTTTTAACAGAGCTGGGTCAGTGCGTGCAATACACACACACACACACCACACACACACATACATGGACATAGAAGCAAAGACGCGCATGTGGCCTTCTCAGAAATGCCTTATACTTCATTATTAACGAGATCTAGATCATTGGCCCTGGTAATCCATCACAGGGCGTATCCAAGGGAGTGAAGTGCTGATCTAATAGTGGCATTCGCATCCATGTGTCAAAATCAGAATAACATCAGTTTTAGTTCATCAACTATGTTATACATACAAGGAATTTGTCTTTGTGAGTGTACTCATGTATGTCAGGTAACATATTAAACACACCAGGCAAGTCTGCAAGACTGTTGCTGAATATTCAAGACAAAATCGTGGCTTAATGAATAAGGTAAAAAAAAACTGAAAGAGGGTAAGGTAAAAAACAGGTAGAAAAAGTACAGAGGTATAATAAGGACCCCAAAAATATGAATGAATATGTAAATATGCTCATATCTTCAGGATATGAGAAGACACACAGTAAGGTCCAAAAGTCTAAGAACGCATTAAATTTTTTTTCATTGTTAGAAATATTAAAACAAAGAAAAGTTATAACAAGCAAAATGAAGAAGAAATATTAAAGATTCTGCCCTGTTTATAAGTCACTATTTAAATTTAAGCAAATTTGTAAAATTGACCACATCAAGCACTTTATACAAAAAGGTCATGTTTTTTTCAGTCTCATCTCTTTCACTGAAGCTCGTGTTCAAGTGACTCTCAGGAGGATTTGATCTGTTCCTCAGACGCTTTTGCACAAGCTTGTGGAGTCTATGCCAGCTTGAGTGCACACTCATTAAAGCAAGAGGTGTATGTAATAAATGCTAAGAAATTCTGAAATTTATTTTAAAATTTTAAAGATTTTCTTTTCATTCAAATTGTTATGCTGATAATAGAATTTGAAATGAAAATCATCCTATTAAATTAGAAAGGAATGCAAAGTAGAAGCATTTTCACTAGTGGTCTCACCAGTTAACTTTAGGACCCCTCTGTATGATACAGTGGAATGTACAATATAATTCTTTGTAATATCGGCATTTGCGGAGTTACACATAAACGGTACAAAAAATGCATCCAAACTTTATGATCAACAAGCAATCAAACCCCTCCCTCACTGAACTGCTGTGCAGATGTGGTGCTGCAGTTCAAAAATGCATATTGTGTGCTTTCAGGCGAGGGGAGATCCAGAGAGGTATTGGGTGGACGGCTGATGTGTTGGCTTATTCCACTTTTCGGCTGGGCTGAGGCCAGCTGTAAATAATACTCCACTCTCCCTCCCTCCCTGCAGAATGTTTCAACAGGCCAGAGGAAGGCTGAGGGGTGTATTTATAACGCCATTGGCCCATCACGCACACATGCATGGTCACACAGCAGACGCACCTGCTCAGTGTTGTTTAGCCAAGTCCAGTTCCAGTAAACACTGGGTTGTCTCATTCTATGATGAGGCCAGTTTATCAACAGGATGAACAGCTCTGTGCATGAAGCAACCCAAACCTAGCCTCAACCTCAGATTTGATAAACAAAGTTTGCTTGCTGTTGCTAGTAGAAAGTAGTTGTCTGCTCTGCACACCTGAAGAGGAATTCATAACAGTAAAAAGCAAAGCTGTCACCACTGCCCCCATGTTAGTACTTATTGGAGTAATAACTGCTTCATATTCTTGATGTTTCTTCAGCTGAAAAGCAATGTTCGTACACGACTGACACCACAAATGTCACAGAGAAAAAAGTAGTGACCTGAAAAGGACTGGAGGGGTGCATCTCTGTCAGGACGCTGTCCCTGATTGGTCAGAAGCTCGGCCCGGGTTGGTTCAAGAGTTGCTTATGATCCAAAATTGCATATCCATAAATATCCATCAATAAGGAAGTCGGGTTCCAAGCAGTTTTTGCCTATGGGAAAAATGAATGACATGTAGCATGCATGTGTAGCATAGCATGCTTGTAGCATAAATGTAGCGATATTAATTTTTTGACCGCTATACCATCGGAATCCAGAGGAGTCAGTGACAGTGGGGGAAATGTACATATAGAGCAAATGTATTGGGTTTGGAACATTTTCGTTTATCACAGAGTGCAATAGCTGCTATTAAAAAAAATGGCATTCATTTTTCCCACAGGCAAAACTTAGACCATGGGCTTGTGTTAATGCTGATACCGATCTACAAAATGATGACACTGAGGTCTATGGCCTGCCCCTGCATGTCACACAGTCGGTCATTTTGCATGTCAGTCAAATTACTTCCTGCTTCCTGTCAAATAGGTGGTTCTTGGCCACACTAGAGACCCACAAGACTCTCTAGCAATAGTCAACAGTCCAACAGGATATCTGCTTGTGTTATTCCTGTGCTTTTGTAATCACTGTGCAGGATACCATTGGCCTGTGTGCCAGCGAAGGCTGTGTTGTGTAAAAATAATAAGGCTCATCTGTCTCTGACCTTTGGCGATGTGAGTCAGTGAGCTAGTGTCAGCAGCCGCCAGGTTTGTATTCACTGTGGCACAGTGCTCTGGCCCACGGGACACGAGTGAGGTCATGCAGCTTCGCTCGAGGGACAGAGAAGGGCAGCACTGCTCAAAAAAAAGGAAACATGACAATAATAAGAGTGAGACTGTAGCCTGTTTAGAGCTGGAGTCTGAGTCACCCGCTGCTGTGTGCAGATGATGAGGTGGTGCATGCTCTGTGATCTCACACTACACAAGCAGTGCATAAGCCTCATTTCTGGTAAATGAAGCTCTGTCTGAAGCCCTCTCAGCTTCTGCTTGTGCCTCTGAGGCGTCGTTTCTGGCAGCCCAGGGCCAGTGCTGACAAGCGTCTGTCGCTAATGAAACGTTTATACGGCAGTGTCTGCATGGCCAGAGGCACGCACTGTAACAACTTAGACGCTCACATTTGATCTTTCTCACACACACATGCACATGCACACATAAAAATCTGAGCTCCCAAAAATATCAGTCACATGTCCTCTGTAAATCCAGGCTTATCTGTTGTAGTGTGTGTGCTCTCTGGTTTCCAGAGGACACTGTGCTCTCACACTCCTCCTGCAGCCTGTTGGAGGGCGCAGGGGCAGATGAGAGAAATGCTGGTGAATAAAACACGCCTATCTAGGTCATAAGTCCTAATCTAAATCATATTAATCTCTCCAGGATCATCAGGGGCATTGTACATTCATGCCTCTGCTTAGGCAAGTTATTAATGAATTACTGCTAAGCATTTGGCCTGAATGATTTACCAGAGGGTGGGCTGCAGTTATAATTGTTTCTTTTGATTTTACATTTTAGAGGAAAGCGAGACAGTATTAGCTCCAAACCCAGTTGGTGAAAAATGCCTTCATATGCATGTAAAAAGTTTATTTTAATGATTGTTACTGTTGTTATTATTATTATGAATTATGGTAAAAAGCAGTATTTCTAAGACATTAAATTACTGTAATTTTACTATCACTGAGAAAACATACTTTTACTCTTAACTGCTTTTGTCTGGCTCCCCCACTGGACTGTTTCCCTGTTTTTTTTCTTTACAGTGTGACCAAGCTTAGAACATGTGCTGACCTGTGTCAGTATTAGTGCATTAGAGTTAATGAATAGATAGCTGATTAACTGAGGGGAAGGGAAAAAATGGGGTTAGTTTGCACTCCGGCCTAAAAATTAATAACTGGTAGGTGCTGGAAACAAAGTTTATGTTTTCATTTGTAGCAGAGAAACGTGAGATGGTTGTATAAAAAATACTAATCTTGCTTAAATAAATTTTTATTTACCCCAAACCAAAATGTACAAGTTTATGCCCCACCCTCCCCTACTTGGTAAACTGGTGGCTAACTTAGACTATTAAGGACCTGTTTATTGCAAATCCTTGACTAAAAATAATTTCTAGTGGTGACTCATCATTGGCACTTCAGTTCAATCCAAGACCAGACTTAAATCCATATCTGGGAAACCAGCTTTATGTTATGTAAAAATGTGCATATTTCCCCTTTTCCCAGCAAGGTGCAGTGTGTCGCAGCAGTTCTCAAACTGATCCCCAGACAGTCCCTATTTTTCTCTAGCTGTGTGTGTTGGGTTAGAGCAAAAATACTGACTGACTGGAGGTCCCTGAGGACTGGTTTGAGAATCACTTGTGTAACAAATACTTGAATAGTGGTTTCAGTGTTGGATTACTGGCAGCTGGAAAGATGAACCAAGTATTCAGTTACCCTCGCACAGCCCTAGTTTATATCGTGATTTGTGTGGTTAAACCTGTCCGTACTTTCTCCTATAGGAGGACTATGATCGTCTCCGGCCTCTGTCTTACCCCATGACGGATGTCTTCCTCATTTGCTTCTCAGTGGTGAACCCTGCCAGCTTCCAGAACGTGAGGGAGGAGTGGGTGCCTGAGCTGCAGGAGTATGCTCCTAATGTCCCGTACCTCCTCATCGGCACTCAGGTATCCCCTCCATCTTCAAGGGTCACATCCTGGGATTGCATTGCACCATATCTTAAGAGTGTTTATAACAACTTACCCTTCAATGTTCAATACCCTTCATTGTTCATACTCATTATTGTTCACTAAATGTTTTAATGTGTGTTGTAAGCATCCTGGGTTTATTGTATAAAGTGTATCACAAGATGTAGCAAAATAATTGCATGTAATCGTAATCACGCTCCTATGACCAGTGGTGTGCTGTGGTTTTGCCAAGTGGGAGGGTGCTGTTATTTATCACTCGAACACAGTTGTCCAGTCTCCCTGTTCATATTGTCACAGATGAAAAGTTCCACTCTTTCATAGCATCCCTACTGCTTTTTTCCTGTGGTCACCCACAGCCTAGCTGATGAAATAAATGTTCCTCTTATTACAGAATTGTAATTGTTTCCATAACTGTTATTTATGTAAGATTCTCCATTCTAATAACGCACACAAAAGCTACTTGAACGCTAATAACTCTCCCTTGTTGAGAGCCTTCAGCGTGCTATACTTAAGTGAGGGTGAAGAAGCCAGATGAACAAAAATACATGAAAAATCAGTTACACAGCACATATTATCAGCATCAAGCACATCAACCTATAGATAAACAGCACAAGACCATCTGAACCTCATCACAACCACCCTGTTCATAAACACAGTTAGCGCAGCATTCAACAAGTAACACCAGCAGAATTAAGACTTATAAGACTGGTATTGTGAAAATACTACAGCACAGAATTCTAAAATCCCTTTAAAGATACTCACCAAAACTGGTCTTAATCCTATTCAAACATAAATTACGTCCACTTAACATTTAACTTTTCAACAAATATTAGCACCTCAGCAGTATTAGCAATGTTACGTTAGCAATGTTTGCTAAACCTGCTGCCTGAAGCTTCTGATAACACAAATTGTTGCAAATCATATTAATGTGTTATTTTTGTGCAGCAAGGCCATTTCTCCAGTACCCCGAGTTAAATATGATTATAAACTGGCATTCGTTTTTTTTGACCCTCCTGCCAGTTTCACAGACATATTTCAATACAGAAATGATAACGGGTAGGGTAACAAGCCCAGCACTAATAATAGTGTTACCAGTTAGAAATAATATTGTTATCATATAGTAATAATGGATGAAAAGCCCCTGCCTCTCACTATAGATGAGTCTATAGTGCACACTACTATAGTGGCCAATGAAGTGGTCAACATCAAACCAATGCCAACCAACTAAATCACCTCCATACATTTGCCTTGCTGTGTGACGTGATTTTAACATTGGCTATTCTCCCACACTGGGTTATAATTTCCATCCATCTTGCTAATAGATCAACATGATGATTCAGCTGATGTAACAGTCTGTTTAGTGAGGGACCTGTTCACTGATATTGATTGTCCTTCATTTGTAACAGTGTTGCAGCACTGTTGTCACCTGTTGTGAGTTTGTTCAGCAGGTGTTTTAAGGCCAGCGCAGAGACCAGTGAATGCCCACATTTTCACTGAAAGTGACACTGTAGCCAAAGTATGTAACTATTAGGGACAATTTAATGTTCAGTGCTGCTATTTCTTCTCCCCGATGGGCAGAATCTCCAGTGGGCAACTTTTTTTGGTTTTGTGAAGAGTAATTAGAGACATGAAACAGCAGGTGATGTACCCTGTGTGTGTGTATTTTTGGAAATGTTTGTAATTAACCCTGGTCTTGTCAGGGTGTGTTTATCACTGTGTCGGCTCCAATCTTGTAAGGTCCATGTGCGTGACGAATACAGATGCACAGTTGATCAATAGAAGAGGAGGCTGTAGTGAGTCACAGAGCCAGGAACATCATGTCTGTGTTTACAAAACTCTATGGTGTAACTGCTATACCACCGAAGTACAGTCACTACCAGGGAATGCACGTACACAATGAGACAGCCATGCTATTAACCTTCATTCAAGGGTTATTGCCTTTGTTTTTCTATTCAATTTAAATGCATTTCTGTAGTTAACTACCTAATAATTATATAATAGTTACATTTCATAACTGCTGTAGAACCAAAGTATCACTTGCAGGGAATGTATATACATACTGAAACAGCCTTCGATATTGGTTTTACAGTTAAGTACATAATTATGTAATTACCTAGTTAATTATATAATTATGTAATGAATTAGTTAAGTTCAAGTTACATACTGTATTGACAGCTTTGATCTTTATTTCAGACTTTTTTTGTTTTTGTCAGAGACATATTAAGTCACACCATGTTTTTGTCACTACCATCATTACAGCATCTTTCAAAGGTTAATACAACATGTACAGAATTGTGTTTATAATGTATTCATAAATGCAAATGTCTGAAGTTTTAGCTAAATTTCCTGTAACAACTTCAGACGGCTGTCATAGTTAATGTTTCTTTCATTACTTGCGAATGATGCTATATTGTGTGATAGAACTACAAGTACATCACAGCAGGGTATGGCTGAAAATCAGTAGGGGAATTTTAACTGGAAACAGGGATATATGAAGAGACAAGAGACCCTCCCAGTCAACTGTAATGGAGCTTTTTAGGTGAAAGGGGAGTGTGTGTAGACGAATGCCAGCATCTGGCCTTGGGTCAGATTTCCTGGAGCCTTCTGCTCTAAAAACAAACCCCAACATATGGAATCCTGTCCACCACCCTCAGAATAAAGGCGCTAGCAGCACATGTGCAGATAGAGCCCGCCACTCCTCTCACCGCCTCCACAAAAAGTTTTGGACTTTCTGAGATCTAAGCCTAGAGAACTTCTTCTTTGTAATTCTTGTTTTTCTTCCCTTTATGCTATTTCTCTTTTGCTGCAGATTGACCTAAGAGATGACCCTAAGACCATCACAAAGTTAAATGATGTGAAGGAGAAGCCTATTGTGACAGAACAGGGGCAAAAGCTGGCAAAGGAGGTGAGGAAAGGAAGCCATGCCCCAAACTAAGTATAAACTAAGTCTAAATATGAAGCTTTGGCTGAAATGGAAAAACCAGAATAAGATTAAGGAAATTGGTAATTTTTCATGGCTTCTTCAAGAGCCAGTAGCAAAGCAATATGTAAAATATTTGTGTTAAATATAAAATTAATATAAAATATTAATGTTATGGGGCAATTCCACACTTTTACACATATTTGCCTCTGTGTTTGATAACAACTGAGGCAAATATGAAAAACTGTGGTTTTGGAGTTTGGAGGAGAACTCCACTCCCCAGTGTTCTGTAGAACATGTATTATAACCATTATAAATTAAACCCACTCTGTGCCTGTGTAGATTGGTGCCTGCTGTTACGTGGAGTGCTCAGCGCTAACGCAGAAAGGCTTGAAGACAGTCTTTGATGAGGCCATTATCGCCATTCTGGCTCCAAAGAAGGGGGCATTAAAGCGACGCCTCGGTCCGCGCTGCATCAACTGCTGTCTGATCACGTGAGCAGCGTGTCACCCCAGTTCTAGGGCATTTCGGGGAGTGAGAGATAGAGCACATACCCCACTGTTGATGGAGGGGAGATTTTCAAGAACAACTGTCAACCAGAACCTGAACTGTTCATAAACAGATGACAAAAAAATAGAAACACATATTGAAGTATGGGAGGAGAAGTACGGACACAAAATCTTTCACTGCTCGGAAAATGAGACTCATTCTGTCATGAGCAACGGGAGGGAGTGAGCAAGGACGACTGACAAAAAGAACGTCAGCATTCGACAGCAACAAGTGACCTACAAAAACACTAAACATGAATGAGACAACACAAGAACAAATGACATTGACTTTCTCAACACTGAAGCACAGAAAAGGAAAACTTTCCAGGGAGAGACGTTGAATGGCACAGTGGAACATTCATGAAAATCGAAAACAATTCATTTGTATTTCTTGTTGCTTCTGTACGCATGTGTGGAAAAAATCCCAGACAGCCTAAAGAGCACAACCAAACCCAACTGACATTTACAGAAGTAGGACTTTATTTGGCTCAGAAAAAGGGAAACTGTGTCTTGCAACATGAAGTCGCAAATTGCTTACCTTTCACAAAATTTCTCTTAAATCCCTTATTTACCAGAAAGATTAGAGGAATGTTGCAACAGGTATACCACTGCAAATATACAAATAATGTAATACCTGAAGGAAACGGACATTTCTATTGCAGCATCTGACCTCAGAGGACATGTTTTAAAGCATTTGGGGGCAAACAGGTGGAACTTGCTCTAGGGTGGATGTTTTTTTTCTGACTATCACAGCCCTTTGATGTCCGTCCACAACTTGGCCTTTGCCTGTGAGTTCCTGTTCTTCACTTGAGCTTGTAGGTGAGCTGCTTGCGATGCCAGCGGATCCAAAGCGGGGCTGTCAGGAGCCCTGTCAGAAAACCTATGGTTGTCCCCAGGGAACACGAAATAGGCCACACCTAGAGGGAGGAACCACAGGAATCAGCAACAACCAATCAGCCCTGTCCCCATATGGCAGGAGCACAACTATCTGGCTGCAACAAACAAGATCACTGTGGTGTTTTAATGGTCAACTTTTGTACTTAAAGCTTTAAACTGCATTTTCTTTGTTGTTTTTTACTTTAGGGTTTGATTTTTGTGTGCATTTTTGAAGTGTGCATTTTTGCCTCTCAGCTCTGCTCGAATTGATATGAATTGTTAAATTTTAAGACAGAAAGTAAAAAAAAAAGCCAGTGACTTAAAGCATTAGTTGCTGTTTTAAAGACATTTGTTGCACAGTACATGCAAACAGTGATTTGAGTGTTTTTTGCAGCTTCTAGCATCAAATGAAGTTTTTAAAAAATAAGAGAACCTTTTATGAATATTATGGAGTAAAGAACTAGTCAGTTGCAAGCAGAAATCTTCATTAAGTTTAGCAAATGGCGCAAATTATTTTCTTAAAAAGTAAAAAAAAAGTTGCAATGACTTTCTAAGCTCAGTGAACAGTGATTAATACTTTATGTACATTTTGTTTGATGACTTGCCTCAAAAATGATGATTGCTGAATATAAAGTTGTTTTTCATAACGGTTGTCCCCTTTCAGTCTCATTGCCTGCTTTCATCTTCTCAGAATGTAACGAAAAGCACACCCACTGAGCCTTATTTGTTATAGTTATTTACAGATGAAAATATTTTTATCTTGTGCAAGTAAAGCGGCTGGTGGTGGAGCAGGGCATCTGATCTAATCGCTGCTTGTGATCTAACCATTGTTCATGAGTGCACATGGCATTTATGTGAGCTTTAATAAATTTGTTCTGGTCTGATGACTAAATATCTCCATAATGCCAACCTTTCGAGAGAATGAGAATCGTTTTTGTAGTACCCTGCTGTGTCTCGGTCTTCAAGGAGCTTCAGAAGGTCTATTTCATAGCTTTCAACTGATACCAAAATTAATACTCACTACAAGATTTTTGTACTTTGATATTCCTGTTGTCATGTTCAGTAGAGTCATTTGGCTGCAGCCACCATGTACTGAAACACTGGAGGAGCTTTTATGCTCTGCAGACTCTTCACTTTTTAGAAGAAGAAAGCTCTCTCCATGTTCTAAAACACAGAATATTCTCAGAGTGAGCCAAAATTAAAAAATGTCAGCGAGATTGATTTTTCAATTATGTGCGAGCTGTGCTTGTGATATGGGCTTCATTACAGCATAGTGTCACAGAGCTCTGCCATGCCAGCTTCTCAGCAGTTAAGGCTCTCTTCATCATGCATTTCTCTGATGAGGAGCTGCTTTATTGCTTTATTCCAGCCTAACTGCACATGCTGCCATTCCCTCACTGCCTGGTTATGTCGGCCCCGTCTCAGTGGTCTAGTCTAGACATTCGCTGCGTGTGTGCGTGCGGGAAAGCACACATGGGAGACTTCAGTGTGACATTTTGAGGGCACAACGAGGGCAAACGCCAGCCCCCTTCTCTGATCGATGTCTGTACCATGCATGAATAATTCAAGTTGCAGTGCAGTCCTTCGATGCTTTGAGAACTTTTAATTTTTCATGAACACTGGTTCATTCCTAACAAAACCCCCGCTCTGGCAGTCACAAGAGATTTGTTGGTCCATCATGTCCAGCATTGTTTTGTTTGCCCAAAATGTGTTTGGTACTTGAGTGGTGTTCCTTCACTGTCATTACCAGGATGATATTACGTATTGTGGCTGAATCATTCTGAAATTTAAAACTGATATTATTTAAGATGATGTACTAAATCCTGCACAGGACAATAAAGGTATATCATATATAAAAAAAAGAAAAAAGCAGAAACAGCCACTGTCCTACATATGAAATCACTTAAATTACTTGAAAAGTTGTAGTTCAGTGGATTTCTTGAGAATTAATTCTGAAATTAGGTCATTTTGCAGGATATAAGAGAAGGATCTGGAGACATGCTTGCTGAAGGAATGCTTTGAATGAGTTGTTAGAACTGGTGAGCAGGATAAAAATAGAAGCTTTTCAGCATATAGACCAAATACAGCGAAAATCCATATTGAGTCAACGCATACCAACAATGCACACCAACACTCAATCTTATCTTAAGAGCTATTGAACTATGTACGATACAGTATAAAGAAACATTCTACTGGTCCAGACAAAAAAATCTCTCACACAGCAACACTTTTGCTGCATTCCAACATTCTGAGGTTCTGTATCTCTGCATATATGATTTACAGCAGATAACCAGGTAACATAAAACTGAATCTTAAGGTGCCCATGTCATGCAAAAACAAATTTTCCTCACTATTTTAAATGACAGTTTGATGTGATATGCAACCATTATTCACGTTTCAAAAAGTGTTCACTCACCAGTCCATACAGTCCATTTATGAAAATTAAGCCGCAAAAGTGCCTGTCTCAAATTCAAGTTTAATTTATGATAAACAATTGATATTTGAAAAGGCGGATTTTTCAGTCAACCTGATCACTGTTTTTGAACTATACACATGAGGGCGTAAGAGCGCAACTTTTTATGGTAGCCCTACTCCAGGTTTTCTGGAGTTGACTCAGACTCTCGACTTCGTAACTTTAACCAATCGAGCCAGTGCCGTTGCTAAATGGATATAGCAGAGATTAAATCATCTTAAATAAAGTTTACAGAATTTAGAGTAGCTACAGTGATATGATGAAAATTCATGCTTTTTTAATCTGCTCCCCATCACTCACCCTACACCTAAATGTAGTGTGTGGCTAAGAAGAGCGATATGAGACAAGTTTTTGTGCAAGAATGTGACATGTTATAAATTTCAGAGGTAGCACAAGTACAATGACGTACCAAATCTGCATCTGTAATCACGAAACAAAGAAAGACAGCCAACTATTTCATCCATGTTCTCAGAAAGTACAATGTACGGCATTGAGAGCCACTGAAGTTAGAAACTTTGGCCAGATGCTATTTGTGTACTGGCCAACAGACTGCTTAGTAGACTGACTCTAGTGGATACATTCTTTAACAAAAATGGCTAGAATATTTAGCTACATGCACTGTACTAAAAGAGACTACAACTGATTTTCTTTATGTTGTGACTATGCATGAGCCCTGATTATGTGATATATGTTTATTAATTTGGGCTATTAATAAACCACAGTGATGTGTTTGATGTTTTCATGGGTCACGTCCATGATTTTAGGTTTGTTAATCACCGACTAATAATGGGCAGTTATCGATCAAAAGAATTTGCCAAAATTTGCATCCCTAATATTTATATTTAACTTTTCAGCCTGCAACAGTTTGCCTGTTTACACTGAAGTTATAAGGAGTGTTTCAGCCCAGACTGCTTTTTGATATAGGTGCAATACAGGACACTCTGTTTGAGTCTAAGGGATGAAGAGAGGTTGGAAAACAATAGAATGAAAATGGTTATAATGTATAGAAAACCAGACAAATGTCATATAAAATACATTTTAATAAATATTAAAACATAAAAACACAAAGATGTAGAATATGTGCCCTTTAATATTTCGAAAAATCTAGTGTCTTCCACACTGAGAAACACTTAGAACAGTAAAATTACTAAATGCCATCTGGTCACTGTTTTGTTCAACTAAAATGCTTTTGCAGCACTGCAGTGAATCACTGGCATAAGTATAACACACATGGATTGATTCTGGCCCACGTTGTGCTGTTTTTCAGTACACAGACTGAGCTTTTTCCTGGACTGAATGCACTGACAGTGGGTGTTCTCCACTGATACTCCATCAGACTTTTTAGTCTAGGATGCTCAGTATTAATAATGCAGCATACAGGCCTGTATTGTCCGCTGCAACTGAAAGGACGTAAGTTGTGAGGACAACAGTCCATTACTGTATGTGGTGTGGGTGTGTGTATATGGTCTCCATCAGTACTGACCTGCCAGGGTCTGTCCCAGTCAAGAGGAATAGGGAAAGCTCCAAGCCAGGCCCCAACTACACTGCAGCCGGTAGTGATCTGAAGAGATGTGTCCCACACTGACATCGCTCTGCAACAGACATGCATATATCACTCAACACTACAGTCAACAGGCATGAATACATCTCTTGTATTAGTTGTTATATTACATATTTGCAAAAAGAATTTTAGAAATGATGTATAATTAAACAGTTTATCTGAGAGCCTGCATTGATGTGCCTTTATGCAGTATGTTGCACATCCAAATACAGTTAAACAATCTGTTACGAATGCATAAGCAAATTAATAAGTTATTAACTTCCAAGCCATTAAGAATTCTGTAACAAATCCTGCACTTCATTGCAAGTGAGTGAAATTTCAATTATTTGTCTGTGCAAGAGAAAAATTTCCTGTGGCTCTGAGGTAGAGATAACACAGCTGTATAAACACAGGGCATTCTTGTCCAGCTTAGACCAAGTTAGCAGACCCATACAAGCTACTAATTAGAACACTGACGTTTAAAAAGTAGGTGTGTAACTCTCCACCAATTAATTCCTAAGTTTGTATAAATAATGTTTCATTAACAATGAGATAGATTCGAGACAAACTCTTTCTTCTCATGTACTAACAAAACTGCAGTGAAATCCTCTCAAAATGATAAAGGCTTGAATGACAAAAAAGTAGAGACCAGGAAAACTACCTTTTTAGCTTGAGTGAAGTGTTGAAGTGTTAACTTGAGAACTGTAAAGTTTACATTTAAGTGACCTATACCAGCCGCAGGCACTACACATCTTAGTTTTATTGTAGTGATTCTAAATACTTGTAAATGAATACAGGTTTGACTGTGAAACTGCATGTGCTGCTCCCAACCCAGTTCAAGGTCTCCACCTAGTGGCACAGAACTGTAAAAGGAGCAGTCACCTTGTAATGATTCTGACAACTGCTCATAGAAAATGTTGGAACATGGTTGATAAACTGAGGCCTTCTCATCAGAGAGCAGTTTGACTTCATCTCACTTTATAACTGAGTTTGAATTTATCCCGAAAGGACAAAAGTGAAAAGTCAGTTCTGAACGAACAGCACTCACCCGTCCCTACTGAACACACGAATCCACGCCTGTACATTTGGGCCCAGGATACACAGACACCTCAGTGTGGTGAAAGTGGAGAGCAGCACAGCCAGGGAAAATGTCTCCAGGGCTGACCTACACAATGACAACACAGTTAAAACAGCATCCGCTTAATCATCTGCTGCTTGACAGCCAGAGGCCGCAATTGTGGTGAAACAGCATAAACCTATTTTTTAACCTGAGACATTATAACTCAGTAGAGGGACAAGTGTTTCATTCAAGTTGTTTGGAGTATTTTTTAAATACACACAATGCTGCTGTACAGTCATTCAAAAGTTTGTAATTACTTATATTAATAATTGTGGCTATTTTATTCTGTGATAATTTATATTGTGTGGGCTTAAATGATAAAACACTAAAAATATTTTAACATGGTTTATTCAGTATTTCAAGTTTTTTTTTGGAACATCAAGGACTCAAATGACAACTTATAGACTGTAATTAGTTGTTTACAGTAATTTCTTGATAAGCCTGTCTTTAATTTCAAATACTTTTCAAATACAAGGCATTCAATATGTTAATTTTGATTTGTAATTTATTCTTATTATTTATAACCTCATTCTCAATGTTTTACAACTTTCTCAATCATTACAGAAACATAAAACTTCTTAATGTTTTTTTACAGCTTCATGCAAATTATTTGTGACCTACAAAGTGGTGAGTACTAGCATCCTAGCAGAATCATTTTATTGATGTACCAAAATTTTATTGATTCCAAAATTTTAAACAGTATTACAAGTTTCACAAATTTTTATACACAGCCCATCTTTCCTTTCAAAAACACAGAAATTACACAGAACCATGCAAATCTTTTCAATTATAATTGGGTCCACATTCACACAGGCACCACTTCAGCACATGATCACATACTGGAAGTTAATATAAGAAGGCATATCTGACCAGGAGATTTGTGCCTCACACCGTTATCTAAACTCAACTTATTTACTTATTTACACATAATACTCACTCTAGCAGCGGCGCTCCATACAGCACAACCACAGTGTGGAAGAAAAGACATGACAGTAGGAAATACACACAGGATCTGAACAGTTTAGACAACTGAAACAAAAGAAAAAAGAAGAGAAATATTATAAGTAAACAATCCGATCTATATAGAATTTACTATGGTTTTTTCCCATTAACATCCGTACCTTATAACTTGGAGTGTTCTTCTTTGTTGGTGGACTAACACCAAGAAGCCAGAACACAGCTATGTTGACGACAGCAACAGACCCCGCAACAGAATACAGCCAGACCAAGTGGGTCCCATATACAGAAAACTTCTCTACAAGAACAGCTGGCATAATCGTCGCCATGAAGATGGAGGCAGCAATGATGGCATGGGCTGAAGCCATGCCTCTGATCTCGACGTCCCACATGATTCCGGCTAGCCTTGGTTTTTTAAGACACATTAAATAACTGAATGAACAAATGAATGAATGAATGAATGAATGCACAAATAAACCATCTATTATATTTTATTATAGGCCAGTCTATTCGGTATATATGCTATATAAGGTTTTACATTATGTAGTTCAGGTTTTGAATTGTTTACATCTTGCACTGTTTTATAAGATCACTTATTTGCACAAGGACATGCTACATCTTTTATTTTGAACTCGTGTATATTTTTCTAGGTCCAACAAATCTGTATAGTATGTAATTAGAGCTCTGTGACAACAACGCATTTTAACACAAAATATCAAAAATCTAATCAAACCTTGACGTCTATTCGTCTCGTTGTGCCCTTAACAGATATTTGTCTTGAGTAACATTATGTGAAACAAACTGATCTAAAGTAATTTGAAAATCAAAAGGTGAAAATAATAATTCATCTATAGCTACAAATCAACTGTAATAAAACAAAACATACTGCAATAGTAAAATTTCATAGGTAAGTTAAGTTAGTACTTACTTAGTTATCAGAGAGGCAGCCTAGCTTCTGCCCTGGCTTTCTTTTCCTTTTAGCTGCAAAGCAGCGCTAATACCAACTTACTGAATCGGATGTAATGTTACTGGATGTAACAGTAGAAGTCAACACAAAAAATAAAATACATAAAATACTAGATTGCCACAAAAAAGAATCACAAAAAGGCGACATATGCCATTTTAATTTCTGTGTACAGTCAACTGCTTCCGACAACATGAAGTAATCCACCATACCGACGATTCCTCAAAGGTTACAGCAATTCCAGCCAAAATAAAAGACTCCCACATTCTCCCGTCACTTTCTCTATTTTTCCACAAACTTAACAAACATTATTTAAACAAATAATTTTTAACGTTACAGCAACAAGATGTTTTGCTCTTTCGCTTTTAAAAAGAATACTGGCCGCTCAAACAGCAGGTTTTGCAGCTTTGGAAGTACATTAACTCAGGGTGCACATACAAACAGCGATAAATATGTACTGGATATAAAAAACACAATTTAACACGTGCGAATTTTAAATTAAATATATTAGTTGTGACTCTGCAAATAATTAACCCCGTTTAATCAAACAGTTTTCTTATTCCAGCTTGATTAGGGCTTTTATTTTGAAATATGTGTTTGCTTTATTTCCGATCTTCACAACCCTAATAAATTAGCTACTGCTGTTGTTTTTGGCGTTTTCAGGCCTCTAGATTGTATATCGTTAACAAAATGGTTTGTGAAAAATGTGAGTAGTTTTATTTGAATAACAGTGTAATGTATTTATTGTACTTTAATTCATTTCGTTAGTTAACCTAGGCAACCAAGTTCCGTTTTACAGGGGACATTTTGCCTCTGGTTTTCTGTTTTTGTTGTCATGAAGACTAACGTTAGCATTCGTACCCACAAATGACTCACTTGTACACTTTTACTACGAGAACTATCAGCTAGTTCAGTAGCCTTACACGTGTCTGTTAGTATTACAATTATTCTGGCTCTGTTAGCTTTTCAAGGTTAGAAACATATTTCGTAGAACGCCTGAACCTAGCCAGCTTATCAAGTTAGCTTAGCCATAGCCGAGTTGGAAAGAGCTCGTACAGTGTTATGTTAGTTAATTTATATAGCTAGGTATGTATGTTCATGTTACAAACAACATTGTAGTCTGTGATTGTTATGTTTTTATTGTACAGCTGGTTTACATTATGTAAGAAAGCATATGTAGGTTCCTCCTAATGGGCCTATATCATGGATAACCAAATGTTTATCACTTATTTGAAATAGGACAGTAAGGTGTATTATGTAAACAATGTTAAAAAAAAACTGTCCTTACAGTATGTGTATTGAAATTAAGCTGCAAAAAAACTTTCAGAAAGATCTGTTTTAAATTAATTGTTTTTTTTACAGTAATTTAGTCCCTCTGTTCATGTTGAAATTAACTGAGTGTCAGCCCTTTTGAGTGAAAGAAGGACAGCCAGTCAGCACAGATATTATGTACATATATTAGTCTTATAATTTGAAATTCATATCCATTTTAATATGTTATTCTATGATATGTTTCTAAAATACATGAAAAATGTAGGATATAGGTCCTTTCAGAGGCAAAGACCTACATTATTGAGAGTCAAGGCAGAGATGCTTTTAAGAAAAAACGCTTTGGCATTTTGAGCCTTAAAAAGTTGCTTGTTCATTCTTTTGTAGATTTATTCTTAGTTTTTAGCCTCCAGACTTTTCTTACTGTTTGTTGTTCTTGGTTGTAACTTTATATGTTGTTCCCTTCAGGTGAGAAGAAACTTGGACGAGTTATAACTCCAGATACCTGGAAAGATGGTGCAAGGAATACAACAGGTAGTACAATTTATTTGTTGTTAAAAATGTAATCTAAACCACTTTACTGTAGGGCTACAGGTGAACCAAGACACAAAGCTTGAGTGGTTTATGGATAATAAATGGTTACCACCAAAATTGATTCTCAGAATGCAAAAAACAGGTAAACTCTTAAGAAATGTCACAATATGACTAATGTGCTTTTACAGAAAGCGGCGGACGGAAACTTAATGAAAATAAAATGCTGACATCAAAAAAGGCCAGGTAGGGTTATTTTTGTGGTTATTCGACATTTTTTAATGGAATCTTGTTTTTTTGCAGTTCCTTTAAGCGTAATCCTGTAATAAACCCAGCGTTTGCATGTCTTGCGTCTTTGTTAGGTTTGATCCATACGGAAAGTCTGGATTTGCCACATGCAGAATATGCAAGAGCTCAGTCCACCAGGCAGGATCACACTACTGCCAGGGATGTGCTTACAAAAAAGGTAAACTAAAGGACCAGAAGTAGGTGAATGTTTTAGTGGTTCTTGATCTATACGAGTGTACCGTGATATTGGTTTTTAAGTTTGAGCAATATTTTTAGCAACATAGTTGAGAAATAATGAATAATATATCCATGCTGTAATGGCTATAAGACAGCAGTGTCTTTGTTGACAGGCGGGTTGGTGTCCAGGACCTGACAGTTAACTGTAGTGTGTATCATTTGTGAGGTGCTTCAGTTTGTTTTGGAAGAACAGTTTAAACTCTGTAAAAATAATACTGATAAAGACATGATGACAGTTGATAATTCACTTAAATCTTCAGAAGACACGTCTTTTACCAAGTGTTGACTGAATATTCTTTGAATACTCTTTCAACATGCTCACAATCGCCAGACTCATGCACTCAGGGAAGGGGTCTGAGGCACAGCCAACGTCACAAAATGTTCTTCCGCATACTGCGTGCAATTACACATTTCTATTCGAGAGGTCTTCAAATCCCCAATTCTTATGTAGTGCAGCTTTAAGTGAAGACATTAGAGCAAAACGATGTTATATAAAGAAGCTCTGTCAGATTTGTAGTCCATTCTCATAAACCAGTACCAGTACTTATGATGCATGGGTAATTAACTTTATTAATGCAGACTTAGATTATCTGATATCAGAATACAGTGATATATTTAGAAAATATCATGATATTGAATTTTATCACCCATCCTTAGTGGTACTTGGCAAAATTGAGGGGCAGCTTTGATAGTACATTTGTGCTTTTTACCTACTGACAATTGTGTCCCATATATTTCATTTGACAGGGATCTGTGCTATGTGTGGGAAGAAGGTTCTTGACACCAAGAACTACAAGCAGACCTCAGTGTGATTTTAATATGTTGCTGGCAGACAAATGTTTCACCTTGGAGAATTGAGGGAGGGAAGCATGAAGGTGATTGTGACTGTCTTCAACTCAAAACTCCTATTTGCATTCAGTTTGTTAAATTAGTGGAGCTAAGAGTGTTCACCAGTCTGTGGTGTTGTATGTGTGATAGTCCAACACAATGGTGCAGTAGTTAATAGCTGTATCAATGCTGATATTCCTCCCTCAATTGATAACTTTAAAGCAATATATGGGCGTGTACTGTTTGAGTAAAATTAGATGCCTTCCCCAAGTGGAGTACTTGTTTTGTTTCCACCTTTTTGGAACAGACTGTAAAGAATATTGTAAATAACATCCACTCGTTTACTTAAATTCAGGTGTGTTTCATTTCATTAAACATATTCTCTCATTCTCTTTCTCTCTGATATATACATTGCCATGTAGGAACTGCTTGACCAGTTAATAGTGATTCTTACTAAGGTCTTGATTTTTGCTGACAAGGCCAAGTCCAGTCTAAGGTCCCAGTACTGACATTTAAATACCATCTGTTTCCTGAGGTGATTTTCTTCATTGATAACTCATGATTCCCCTTCTGTTCTGAGGAACATTATATAATGCAAATGAAAGAGTTATGTGAGTTTGCATAATGTTTTATTATGGACTGATGGACTGTATTGTATTATGTCTAATCATATTGACAACACTTTTTTTTTATTATTATTATTATTATTATTGTCAACACTTCTGTAAGCATGTGTGGTCTCCTGTGCTTGTCATCATTGTATGCCTGTAAATATGTTTGATTTTTTTGCCTAAATAAAATGGAAGAGAAAAACAAATGGAAGTAAATGGTTTTTCATGTATAAGAACAAAAGATGAAATGCAAAGTATTTCATAACAGCATTTAATTATTTGGGGAATATATTACAGGGTTTTACTTTAACAATATAACCTAACTAGACAGTAACTTAGTAATGCACAATATTTCAATGGCAGTATAACAACAGCAGAAAACAAACTTTTACATATTCTGCGCAAGTTACAGCTTATGTAAATATTCATTATAGTAACATTTCACAGGAATACATGGCTCCGATTTAAACTAAACACCATATGTGCCTCACTTTAATCACAGAATTGTGCAGAGGACAGAAATGGACACTGAATCATTGGTCTTTGTATACACTACAAAATATATACCAGTTCTTTCTGTCATGCCAGTTTGCTGTGAAAATGTCTTATAGGCTCCATGCATGTGTCTAAAGGCACAAGGCTTTTCATTCAGATGCTGGTTTCAAAGGTCCTGGGATTTAGTAAAACGTCCAAATAGGGAACTTGCATAATATTCAGAAATATTACTACTGCTTCATCTTGAAGAACAATTCCTGTGTGGTCTGCCCTACCAAGTTTGTCAAGATACAATTAATATGGTTCTGTGTGCGTTTACAGATGTCAAAAATGCAGTAATAGGACAAGAAAGACACTCAAACAGTTGCCTGCAAAGAATCAATGATAATGGCAGAAAGACAATGGAAGCAAGAACACTGCAGGATCAGTAAACAAAATTAATATGAAGGCAAAAATAGTTAATTTGTCAGTCTTTGAGGCAGCTATAATTCAGATGATCTGTATATGGCAACAGTTTTATTGGATAACATTATAAAATTCACAAAGCTATGTAAATAATAATTAATAATAATGAACCAAAAAGCATTTCATAGGTTAGTTCTCCTAAAACTCCCTTGCGCTACTTATGATTGAGGTGATGTATGACCGGTAATATTCATCATTTCGTCCATCAGATTGGATAGAGTGGTGCTGGTAACAGTCAGTGAGGACACCTGAGGTTCTGCTGTAGGCAATACAGTACACTGAAAATGGAACTAGGTGGCTGGTGGCCAGCTTTAAAGCTCTGGCTCAATAAGAATCTAACAGCACCATAAAAAGCGCTATAGGTATTGATTTTTCAGGAACCTGCAAATCCTTGCCCTAAAAGCGAGCACTGATTTGAGTTCTAGGGGGTCACCAAAGCATGAGCGGAGATCAGAGGTGTATAACATGGCTTGGCTCAGTAAAGCTGAGTTTGCATTGCCAGTGTTGCTCTACAGAGGTGCTGCTCAGGTTTGAGGAGATCGGCAGGACGGAGCGGTTGGTACTATGAGTTCTTGGTCAGGGCCAGGAACTCCTCCCGGGTTTTTGGGTCTTCCCTGAACACTCCCAGCATGGCACTGGTCACCGTGCGGCTGTTCATCTTCTGGACTCCACGCATGACCATGCACATGTGACTGCAACAAAAGACAAAATGCGTTCAGTTTAAGACTGTGACTATGGTTGTATACTCAAGATGTGTACGGTAATTTGCTATTTAAGTCTGAGCAGCACTCTTAAAAGGTGCCAGAAAGTGTTCTATGGAGAAATGTTACAGAAGAACCACATTCAGTTCTCTAAAGAACCTTTCAATGCATTATTCTTTCAGAAAGAGTTGAAACAACTCAACAGCAAGATCTGTGGGGAACCAAAAGTGGCTCGTAAGAACACCTTTATTTAAGTGAGCAACAGTAACTAAATATGAAAAGATAGATGATCTCAAGAAAACTGAGGAATGTGGTTTCAAGCCATAGTATGTTTCTATGACTGCATATGGATTGACAGAGTGTGATACTCACGCTGCCTCAATGACTACTGCTACTCCTGCTGGCTGCAAGGCCTCAGAGATCGCCATGGCGATTTGCTTTGTCAAACGCTCTTGTACTACAATAGATGTAATGTTACAGAAGGTTAGGAGAAAGTAAGACATCAAGCACACAGCATATGTTATCTGTCCATCTGAAACACATTGACTAAACATGCGGAAACATTCACTGCATCAACAGTGAGAATGATTACCTTGAAGTCTGCGGCTGTAGATTTCCACAATCCTGTAGTGACAATATTGGAATATGATGTTAAATACATCACATACACCAAATCTTGGGCACTTACTAACACTGTATTCCCCCAAAATCACTGATCAGAATTTAAGTATTGGCCTAACTACAGTGCTTGGGTCATGTCTGTACAATGTACAGGCTGAATTACCCCACAGTAATCATTAATCTTATGATCAATACTCTTTTTTGTTTTTTTTTTGGTCTGGCACCATTTATCCCCTGAACTGAAGTCCTGACGTGACATTATATAGGTCTGGAGGTGAACCATCAATCATTTACGTCTCTATCTATACACACAAACATTTAATCGATCTTTTTAACCCTATACAGTATACCTGAGTATGTACGTGCTAATTCACAATGCAAGTTTTGGGTTTGGTATAATACGGATTGATTATAATGTATAAAAATGTAATGCATGTTATATGAAAGACTGATGAAGGGTGAGCACAGCTGAACAGTGTTAGTAATGCAGAGTCAGCACCAAAGGGCTTCTTGCTAAATGTACTAAGAGTGGCATAGGATCTGTGTAGTTCCCACAGCCTGGTGGAGGTGGGAATCGAGGCTAAGGGGGATTTCCTCAGTGCCAGAAGCTAGCTGGTCTGGCCATGTCTAGATGGGAGAGGATGCAGTGCCAGGCTTTGAGTCTAAGCCTCAAGTCAATGGGCTATGACAACAGAAGAACTCAGTGGCTCGTGACTAATGCGTCCCCTTATTCTCTCCCGCTCTGATGTAACAATGACTTCCTATATAGCCAGTACGAATGGCACACTAAATTTTGTATGTCTGCCACATACTCACCTGGCAAGCTTACTAAGGCCAACCACTTTTTTACTTGGCAGATATCCTATGTGAACCTGGGGGTCAAAGAACAGGAGAGTATGTAGTTCAGTGAAATGTACTCAGCGTGTTTTTGTCTCTGCCCTCTGTCCTACAAGAACCTATTCACCTCTCTCTCTTTCCCTCTCTCTAACAGCAGTGTGCTCACTCTCTATCTGTCTCTCACTCACTGTCTGAGTCTCTCTCTCTCTCTCTCTCTGACTGTCTCTCTCTCTTAGCAGTGTGCTCACTCTCTATCTTTCTGTCTGTCTCTTTCTCTGTCTGCATCTCTCTTTCTCTCTCTCTCTCTCTCTCTCTCTCTCTCTCTTCTCTCTCTCTCTCTCTCTCTCTCTCTCTCTCCATTTGAAATGAAAGCTTAAATATCCACATTTATTTGCTAATGCTTACCTTGCCAAAGAATGGTACTAGGTGGTGTTCACAGAGGGAGAACATGTCAATGTCTTTGACTATAACCATCTCATCGTGATCTTCATCAAAGATGGCATCATTTAGGATGTCTGTGGTGAGAAATGGAACAATAGCAGTTGTAGCCAGTATTGCATGATTTAAAAATTTTTCCTGAAACTGAATTCTTGCATGCAACCTGGAACAGACTGAACAACGGCCTTATTAATGCTACTTTTCATGAGATAAAAAGACGTTTAAAACACAAAAGCATCCAAAAAATCCAAATCTCCAAAACACCTTCTTAACTTTGAATTTAAGTAAACGTATATTGATTTTATTCTGAGTAATTTTGGAGCATTTCTTTTGGTCCATCCACTATCAAATTGCCACATAATATAAAGGACCTTTGATGTGCTCAGGTGACATAGGCTAATAAGAATAGAAAAAAATGAGATACATGTGTCTTTTTGGACAGTGATGATATGTGTACACAGCTCCAGATTTACAGCAGTGTACAGTAACCTTATTGGCACTTCGAGGCTACAGCCAGTGTTTAGACTATCTCTGAATTTTAAACTACTGCTCTCGTTTTCGTGTTTTTTTTCTGCTTTTGTGTTTTTCCTGACGCCTGATTCAGCCTGAAGGGCCTGATGATTATCTAAAGATGTTTCTCAGGTGCAGGAAAAACCAGCAGGGCAGCTGGACTACAGGACAAGAACTACAGCACAAGCGTGACTCGTATAGGCTGGTCCAAACTCTTAAACTGCACCACGCTGTTAGGACTCTGATGCGCACTCTTTGCGCAGAGCGCACCGGCGCGTAAAGGCGCACATTCATCGGACGGAGAAAGACGTTTTTAGCCCCTGCCTCATGTTAATCATCTAAACATGCTTATTGTAGGTGAACTTAAACAGAACTTCCAATACGTACCGTATATGGTCTCGTGGTAGCCCTTGGTGAGGAACTGCATGGCTTTGGCCGCGCGCAGCGGTGTCCTCAGGAGCCCCTGGCGCTCCGTGTTCTCGCCCAGGCCGCGCAGGATGGTCGTGTAGGCAGCCTCCAGCGCCGGCAGCCGAGACTCGTCCTCCGCCTTCTTCCGGGACGTCTCGCTCTGGTCCTGGACGGGCAGCTTCTTGGACTCGATGGTCAGCTCGCCGAAGCCGTTTCGGCACAGGTACTCTGTGACCAGCTTGCTGCTGCACACGCCGTTCATGTCTGCGCTGCTCTGGTACTCCATTTGGTCTGTTTAGGCTGAGTTGGGTTTGGTGCAGAGTGAAGTTCACGGGTGTGCAAGGAGCTTCCGTCTCAGGATGTCAGTGGTCAGCTGTGGGCTGCTGCTCGTGGTGCCGGTGTGAGTGCTCCACGGCGCACACCTCTACTTATACACCGCTGTTTTGTCCCTACCCGTAT